ATTATCGGTTGTGTGTAAGTAAAAGCGGAAAAGAACCAGGGGGGGGGAATAGAAATCAGGATGTTACTGACAGGGAAATGGAGTTACCATATTTCCCTATACAACGCCGAGGCAACTGGAAGGTTGTCCTGAATCTAAACACTCCCTAGAACTGGCGATCCTGCATCATCCTCAATGGCATCTTAAACTCTTGGTCAGGCATGGCTGATGCACCATGGATCTCAGGAGGGGTTCCCCTGAGGTATCACACCTCATTCTGACTTCTTCGAATGCAGTTCTAAGAACAACTACATACCTATACCCACATTTAGCTAGAAATCCTATCACTAAACACTCTTTTTAAAGAATGTGGTATGGCTGGGTGTGGTGGTACACGCCCATAAGCATCTCCTTTCCTTTCCCACCACAAGTAAATACTGTGATGTTTTGTTGCTTTTTTCCATTCATCCAGGGACAGACATCCTTTTCCTGCAACTCACGCAGCAATGGAACAGCTTATACCACTCATCTTTACAACTTTGCTCAGGTCTTCAGATACGTAGTCAGAAGTGGAGTAAACACTCTCTTTACTCTCCCCTACAAACATTATCCCTGCCTTATACTAGACACCTAAGTCTAACTTTTATGAAATATGACTGATACCCAAAAATTGCCTCCAAACATCCCTTTTCAATATTTACTGTCTTTTATGCTCCACAATAATATAAAATGATACAAACATCAGTAACCTACGTAACAAGCCAGATGAGAACTTGAAGGTGAGACGCAGTGGACTGATCAAGGTTAAGTATGTCATCTCCAACACCACCGCAGGGTAACTGGAAACCAATGTTCTGTCAGCCACCTCCACAGAGTCCGTGTCCCTGACAGGAGCAGGACTTTCAGCTACGCAAATAGCTGTCATCTTCCAAGCAATGAATCATTTTTTTGATATAAAACATTCTGATGAGAAAAGGTTATCATTCACAGTCTGTTAAATTTTTTCCTCTGATTTTGCTTGTTGGAAGGTTCAAAGTTATACCAACTATAAACTTTGAAAACACTACAACTTTTTAAGAAGAAAAAGATCCATTAACCATCAGAAAGTATGCAGCCCTCACCGGCCTGAACTTGCCATGTAGAGCAGGCAGACCTTGAACTCACACACACTTGCCTGCGCCTCTGTCTCTCAAGTCCCAGAATCAAAGATGAAAGCCACCATGCCCAACTTATCTACATTTTTTTAACTTAAGAAATTACCTGGCATTCACCATATTGAATCACTGATCTGATAGGCATTTTCAACATATATCCAATCCCAGGGTCCACCTATCAGGGATTACACGTCTGTGCAGACGGAGAGGACAGCAGGCAGGACAGACACACAGAAAAGTGGTACTTGACCCTGAGGCCCACAGCGGTGACACCAGGACAGCAGCACCAACAGCAGCTGCACAACACGCTCAGTATTTATATCCACAGTACGGAGAAGAGTCAGGGAAAGGCACAGTGGACTTCAGTAGCTTCAGAGGACGTGAGATTTCAATTGGCTTCTAAAGGATCCAAAGAAACTGCTGGCCAAGAGAACCACAGAGCCAAGACAGACGGACACAGTACAGACCCAAAGCACCAGCACTGGAGTCTTAACAAACCTCTCCAGGGACACTCCTGTCCCTGTGACACCCCTATTCCTTGCCATGGAAGATCATTTCATTTGCTTTGTAACTACCTGACATGAAGAATTATTCTTGATTTTTTTAAATACACTTCGTATTTCTCAGCCTTCTGTTTCACATCTTCACCCTTGGGTAAGTACATCTACCTGACAGCCTTTTTTCCACACAATTCATTTTCCAGAGGCCACTTGGATGTCCTCAGATCTGAGGCACAGGGGTTCACTGTCGGCATGCCCACTTGGAAACACGCAAAGGCAGCACTACTGTGCACACTTACGTTTTAGAAATCGTCATTTGAGCACGCTTGGCAGAGACCTATACAAGTTCTATTGCTTTAACTGTTAACTACTGTTGCTCAGTGAAGAACAATGCTGTATCCTCATGCACTGGGCTCACCATCCAACCCATTTCCTGACCTCATCATCCCCTTTCTGTATGAAAAAAGATGCTTTTCCCTGATCAAATGTTTGCGATGCCTCTAGAAATACAGTATCAGTGATGCTCCTTGCCACCTAAGAAGACAGACAAGACCTGGTGGCATGGCTAAGTCATTAACTTACACTAATTAGACAGTTAGTACCATCACTGAGACAGACGAGCAAGAACGGATGGTGTGAACAGTCTCTCTGGTGACAAAGGGGCAGTCTGTAGGAAAACAGTGTCCAAAGTCAGCTGTGGCCAGTCACAGCTGCCAGGATGCGGGCCGAAGCCGACATTCAAGCTCCTTCAACTCTACAACGATTTTCCTCAAACAGAAACCAACGCTTGTTCATTCATTCTTGGTCAGAACAGGGACGCTGAGGCTCTTTGTCCCTTAGAATATCACAGAAATGGTTTTGGGCGAGAGATGAACCGATTTCCTCTCAGTTTTAACCATTTGACTCTACAACTGTTTGACTATCTGGGTCCTCTGTCGCTGGGAGAGAAGACGATACTATGATACTAAAAAAAAAACCTGTGTGTTGGGTGATTTGTTTTCTTTCTTAAGCAATTTTATTTCATGTCTACAAATGTAACTTTTCACTCTTGGTTGTAAGACTAAGCAACAAAATTATTCCTTAATACCAAGAAAAACGTACACTCCATGGCCTAAGAAGCTTCAGATAACCTGTGGCTTCCCCCGGGAGTACTGCAGGGAAAAATTGTCAACAAGGAGTCTAATTTGTAAACAACTGACTTTGTTTTTCATTTGGTGCCAAATCCTGGGCCAAAGGCAGAATTCTAGAGTGCCCTCCTGTGTGTCCTTCAGTTTCAGGGTTTATTCATCAAAAGATGTTTTCAAAGTGTGGTATTTGAGGCCATGATAGGATCCCACTCACAGTGCCGCATCCTGCAGCTGTAACACTACATAATCAGTCACCTCAACCCCTGTTGCATCCTGCGCCCCTCAGAGAGCCCCCACCCCCAAAGGAGATAGTCATGTCTGGCTGACATATGCATCTCTAGAAGTTGGAAAGAAAAGACATTCATGAAATTCTCACTCCTGCTATAAATTGAAGTCTCTTAAATTTGGTGTTGGGGGAACATCAAGGGTTATAACTGAACAACTGCTATTAGCATGAGAGTTTCTAAACAAACAAACAAAACAAACAAAAAGCAAAAAACAGTGTGCATAGTAAACAGTGTACAGAGTAATTCTGGAAAGTGAGATTAGGAAAAAGGAGAAGATTTTTAAAAAGATGTTCTTTTTATGTGTCTGTATGTGAGTTTGCACATGTGTGTGCATTGCCTGTGGAAACAAGCAGGGGTACCAGATGCCCTGAAGCTGGAGTTACAAACAGCTGTGAGCCATCAAACACAGGAGCTAGGTGGGATCTGAATTCCAATCCTCTGCAAGAGCGCCAAGCAAAACCGGCGTGGTGAATCCCAGCACTCAGGAGGCAGGAGCAGGTAAATCTGAGTGTGGTCTAGATGGTTCAAAACAACCAGGACTACACAGAGAAGGCTGTCAGGAGAAAACAATCAACAAAACAACAACAACAAAGGGCAGTACAGCCTCAACCACTGCGCCTCCCAGCCCCAGAAGGGGGCTTCTAACACCAACGACTTCATTTTCTTCCAAGTACGTAAGAATTTACATACAGCTTGTTTTTCAGCTCAGTTCACAGAAGACAAAGCTTGGATTGTAACAGCGTCACGTAGGAGCAGCCAGGTAAAGGAAACTGAGGCAGAGGACAGGAAACTGTTGGGCAATGTCCAGGAGAACAAAATAGGAACAAGACCTCTGAGCAGACTGCAGTGGCCCTGGGTCACTAGGGAAGGATGACTAACCCCTGCTCTTCAGTAACCTCATTGCTTCCTGCCTGTCACCTAGTTAGAGGCTAAAAGACATCAAGCATCCACTCAGACAGCAGTGGAGGCAGGAGCTTCCCTCCCAGGAATGACATCTATGTCCTGCTGCCGAGATGAATTCACAGCACCACTGCTGCCTCCCAGCCCTTCTCTTTGGGAACCCACGGTTCAGGGCACCTCACGGCAGGGTCCAAAGTGTCATCCTACAGGATGTGTAACAAACCTCTGCTGTTCCTCAGCAAATTCTAAGAATACCTGGTTTAAAAAATAGCAAACGAGGCTTGGCGATGTACCTCAGTGGTAGACCACTTGCCTAGCACGTGCAGGTCCTAGGTTTGATTTAAAAAAAAAAAAAAAAAAAAGTGATTCAAGGCCGGGCGGTGGTGGCGCACACCTTTAATCCCAGCACTTGGGAGGCAGAGCCAGGCGGATCTCCGTGAGTTCCAGGAAAGGTGCAAAGCTACACAGGGAAACCCTGTCTCAAAAAACCAAAAAAAAAAAAAAAAAAAAAAAAAAAAAAAGTGATTCAAAATCTAAAATAATCTTCTAAGACATAAGAATCACTTGTATCCTCTATGTCAACCCAGAGTATGCATAAACATACATATAAACCTATATATATGTATTTATTTCTAACATGAATAATTAATTCCACTAAAAATATGACATCATAAGGCACACAATCATATTCATTCTCTCTTTCATTTAACAACCCTTCCTCTTACACTGCTAGGACTGAACAGAAGGCTTCACACACGCAGGGCAGTGCACTACCCATCTCACGACATTGTCCAGGCTGGCTTTGAACTCCCTCTGTGGCTTAGTCAGTCCTTGAACACGGGATCCTCCTCCTTCTGTTCCCAGCTAAATAGGAACAGACAGGCCTGCGCCCCCAAGACTGGCTCTGGTCCTCTCTTGAAAAATCATGAGTTCACCAATCAAACAGTACATCAATATATAGAAAAACGTGTCCGATCGAATCTATACCATCGCATTTCCCAACTTTCTACAATAACATGGCCCTGTGGATAGCGGTGCGGTGCGGTCACTCACCTGGAAGTCATCATAAGGGAAGAGGAGCATCTCCCGCAGACAGTCATTCAGGATCTGGGTCTTCTTCTGCACGATGACATTTTCGTAGTCAAGTGGCTCGATGAGCTTTGGCTTTGCCTAGGAGACCAAAGGAAAGTCACAGTCACCGAGACAGCCTTAGCGACAGATACACCCTTTTGTTTGTGTGTTTGAGACAGTCTCACACTGTAACTGCAGGATGGCCTGAACTCAGCATGTGGCTCATGGCCCTGGGCCCAGGATGGCTTCTCACGAGCCATCATGGCTTACTTGAGAAAGGTGCCTTAAGAGAAAGGACGTTATCTATCTAGACCGTCACATTTCCCAACTTTTCTACAATAACTGCACTGGCTTCACTACTGAAAAGAAACAGAATGAGAGAGAACACATTTGTTTTCAGAGGGAAAAGAGACACCTCTCATGGCACCCTGTCCAGCCAGAGTGATGCTCATTCACTCATTTAGACAAACAAGAGGTCTGCATTCTGATGGGATTTCCAGTCGTTCCTAAGCACAGTTTCGTAAGAACCGCCCTGTTTAGAGAACCAGCCACAGCCTGCCACTGTAGACGCATCCTGACCCAGGCCCTAAATGTCCCTGCAGGACCAATTCATACAACCCTCCGTGGGACCCTCTGAGCCCCCACCCAATCCTGTGAAATACTACATACTCACAACATACACATTGCCTGAACCTACAAACACGTGAGCTGGACTGAAAGCAGGCAAGAACAACTACTCACACCCTCTGGGAGTGAACTCCAGGGAATGGTAAAAAGCCCACGGGAAAGCTACTGAGCCTCTTCCAGCTACTTCCAACGACCTTTTTAGTAAAACTCTCTTTTCTCAAACGCCGTCATTGCCAGCACGTTTGTGGGGCATCTATGCTGCAGGACATTCAAGTAACTATACATACAGTGTGTCAAATAGACACAAGTATATACATAGTAAGTGTATGTGTGTGTGTGTGCTACACAAAGCAACTGAAAATTTATATGTATATGTATCTATTATAAGAAGTAACTGAATCCAGGGCCAGCAAGATGGCTCAGCATGTAAAGGCACCTGCTGCCAAGCCTGATGACCCGAGTTCAATCCCCGGAACCCACATGGTAGAAGGAAAGAACCAACTCTTGTAAGTTGTTCTCTGACCTTCACACGTGTTGTGGTACGAGTAAGCAAGCACATATGTACACACACACACACACACACACACACACAGAATAAATGAAAAATTTTACAAAGTAATTAAATCCATCATTATCAAATTACTGCAAAATTATTTTTAAACTATTAATACAAGATCTAAAACACATGATCTCAATGAACATTATATATACTGAAGTGACAATTTATTTCTAGGAAATAATCTAAAGACATCCAATATGCAGCATTTAAATGAAAATTATAACTGAAGATGCTCTGGGTTCCTTTTCAATACAATTAAACTACATTTCCCAGGCTCCCTTTGGCTAGGTGTGGCTATATGACTGTCTTTCTGGCCAATGATCTGTAAGCAGAAGAGATGTGGCCACTGACACCTTGGCCCCTCTTCCACCTGAGCCACAAGCAAAGGACCCAGAAGTGGCCTGCAGGGAGAAGGGAGCTCCGTGAGAGAGCACATCTGGAACATCTGGATGCTGAGTCATCCTGCAGAAGGCCACTAGGCACTGAAATACGCCTTGAGTGAGAACTGAATGTGCACTGTGGTTAGCCCCTGCGACTGCAGTTGTCCAAGCAGCAGCCAGACAACTTGACCTAACATGTGAGTGAAAGCTCACATTTAACTTCCATTATTTAACCCAAGCAGACTTGACAAAGATATTTTTACATCCTAAGAAAAGTTCAGAACCCAAAGAAGTGTATAGTTAACCATAATTATGCAAAATATGTTTTAGGGACAGAGGCTGGAAAATCAAAACACTAGAGCTACGTATCATAAAAGTCTAGGTAGTTGTTAGTTTGGAATGGCAAAAGTTCAGGCAGTGCCTACAAAATGTAAGAGTCAAAACAATTCACACAAAGTGATTGTTTTTAAAATAAGAACTGCCACAAGAAAAAAAAATTCTCTAAGTGATTTTAAATCAACTTTTAAAAAATGTATTCTTCTATTTCTGTTTGTTGTGCTGCACATAGCAGCCAGTCAATAAACACTGGCTGGCAAATGAATGGACGTCATAATTAATAACATTCGCCTTAGAAGCCATCTCCATACGCCTAACAAAACCCAAACATGAGCACAGTTTTCTAAAATTCCATTACCAAGGGGGCAAGATGAACAACTGCCTCAGAACGGCATCAACCCCACCCCATCCCCAGCTTACAAGGGGTCTAATACACAGCCATGAACCACCCGCCCAGGCTCCAGGCTAATGGGAACACCTACCTGCTGTGGGATGGTCTGTATGTCAAGTGTGTTGCTGATTGGTCAATAAATAAATCACTGATTGGCCAGTGGCCAGGCAGGAAGTATAGGCAGGACAAGGAGGAGAATAAAGCTGGGAAGTGGAAGGCTGAGTCAGAGACACTGCCAGCCGCCATGATGAGAAACAGCATGTGAAGATGCCGGTAAGCCACGAGCCATGTGGCAAGGTATAGATTAATGGAAATGGATTAATTTAAGCTGTAAGAACAGTTAGCAAGAAGCCTGCCACAGCCATACAGTTTGTAACCAATATAAGTCTCTGTGTTTACTTGGTCGGGTCTGAGCGGCTGTGGGACTGGCAGGTGAGAGAGATTTGTCCTGACTGTGGGCCAGGCAGGAAAACTCTAGCTAACCTACTTTCTGCCCCTTCACAAAATGGCCATCACCTCCACCAGACTCCGCAGAAGGGTTGAGGTTCCTTCAGACCCAAGACAAAGACACAGTGGAGGCCCTCGCAGAAGGTACTAGAAGGTACTGCTGAGAAAGGGTTTCCTCCCTACAGTCTTTTGTGTGTTTTGTTTTGTTTGGGCTTTACATTTTGTTCCACCTTGCTCTTACAATACAGCAGCCAGGGGGCTTTCCGGTAAAGACCCAGGGGTGTACACCCTCCAGGAAGCTACTCTGGCACTCCACAAGAAGTCAAGGAAATCCTGCTCCAGCCTCACGCCCAGTGTCCCTGGGAAGGTTCCCTGCCCTTTAGCTGCAGTCTGTCACCTCAACACTCTCCGACACCCCTTACGCATGACCACACTCTAAGTAGGCCGGAATCTTAGCCCCGGGTACCGGGTAGGATATTCCAAGTTTCTTCTTTCCTTGGGAACACTGCTCCCAGGATCTCCAACACTTGTGTTCTATGAACAGAAATCGGAAAACTTTGTAAACAGCCAGAAAATAAATAGTCTAGGGTTTGTCGGTCTTTTGGGTTGTGTCAAACTCATAAGATCTGCTACTGGAATTCAAAAGCAGCCAGGGGACAAATGGGTGAAGAACGGATTTAAAATTTTATAAGAAATGGACAATAGCCAGATCTAGCATATGGTTGGCAAACCTAAACTCTAGAGTTGTCATTACCACACTGCTAGGTAAAAAATAATAACAGTAATTTATTAAAATAATTCCATATATTGCTTTTCCATATTCACATATTTATGTGCTTTCTATCTATGGACCAACACAGATAATACATTTACAATTATTAAAGGCATTCAGTAATTATTTCTCAACCATTTGGTAAAGTTTGAGTTGCTCAAAAGGTTTGTTTTCTAATGTCAAGGGTCATTTTACCTAGTCAGGACACTGGATACTGCTTTCATTAATTAGGTGACTCAGTCTCCCTAGAAGTCATCTTGGAGGTATTCGGTAACCAGAAGCAACACTGAAGATGAGTAGTGCCTTGCTTTTATGTGCCAAAGTGCAACATTCAAGAGGTATCACTCATGTGACCACACTTAGCCCACCCAACAACCAGGCCAACAAGCTAAGCTGATGGTCTGGAACATCCAGTGAGACTGGATTATGACTGGGCCCTCCATCAACCAGACCTCTTTCTTCTCCCTGACAAAACTTTTTTTCCCTTCGAGGCAGAGTTTCTTTGTGTAGCCTTAGCTGTCCTAGAGCTTGCTCTGTAGACCAGGCTGGCCTCGAACTCACAGAGATCCACCTGTCTCCAGAGTTCTGGGATTAAAGGCGTGTGCCACCACTGCCCAGACAGGCTAAACTTTTAATCTGACTTGCTCAGGGAGGTTCGGCCACAAGGAATAATTTATTTTCATTCACTTCATGCCCTGTCAGTCTGTACTGTCATCCCCTGGCCGGATCTAGTACCACCTCGGAGGCGAACCCCTGGGCACCCCATGGGAGATTTTCTCTATCAGGTTAGGTGAGGTGGGAAGAAAGTCTAAAGAAGTATTTGCTTCCATGCTGTGACAGGGTCTAGAACCAGCTCAGAGGCAAACCTCTGGGCACGTGTGTGAGAGCCCTTCTAGGTTGGGTTAGTTCAAGTGGGAAGACCGGGGTACGTGAGAACGGTACCGTTCTACGAGCTGGAGCTGCAGGGTTAACTCAAGTGGGAAGACCGGGGTACGTGAGAACGGTACCGTTCTACGAGCTGGAGCTGCAGGGTTAACTCAAGTGGGAAGACCGGGGTACGTGAGAACGGTACCGTTCTACGGGCTGGAGCTGCAGGGTTAACTCAAGTGGGAAGACCGGGGTACGTGAGAACGGTACCGTTCTACGGGCTGGAGCTGCAGGGTTAACTCAAGTGGGAAGACCGGGGTACGTGAGAACGGTACCGTTCTACGGGCTGGAGCTGCAGGGTTAACTCAAGTGGGAAGACCGGGGTACGTGAGAACGGTACCGTTCTACGGGCTGGAGCTGCAGGGTTAACTCAAGTGGGAAGACCGGGGTACGTGAGAACGGTACCGTTCTACGGGCTGGAGCTGCAGGGTTAACTCAAGTGGGAAGACCGGGGTACGTGAGAACGGTACCGTTCTACGGGCTGGAGCTGCAGGGTTAACTCAAGTGGGAAGACCGGGGTACGTGAGAACGGTACCATTCTACGGGCTGGAGCTGCAGGGTTAACTCAAGTGGGAAGACCGGGGTACGTGAGAACGGTACCATTCTACGGGCTGGAGCTGCAGGGTTAACTCAAGTGGGAAGACCGGGGTACGTGAGAAC